AGACGCAGTAACAGTACTTCTAGGTCAGATCAGACGCCAGTAACAGTACTTCTAGGTCAGATCAGACGCCAGTAACAGTACTTCTAGGTCATATCAGACGCCAGTAACAGTATTTCTAGGTCAGATCAGACGCCAGTAACAGTACTTCTAGGTCATATCAGACGCCAGTAACAGTATTTCTAGGTCAGATCAGACGCCAGTAACAGTACTTCTAGGTCAAACCAGACGCAAGTATCAATAGGCATGAGTTAGAGTACCAGTATTAATGGATTTTATTCGACAAAAATTGCAGTATCCGTGGTTTAGATGAGATAGTGTTTAGTACCAATACCAGTAACTTAATTATTGGAAAATTCAGCTCTTGCTGGTCCAAATTGATTCAAGCATTAGTCCACTGACTGAATCTGATGCTAAGGCTCTAAACTCGGGCAGTATGAAACATACCAGTATTCACAGTCTATATTTACAAGAAGCAGCGACTTTGAAACAATCTATAACGGAACTGAAGCGGGAAGAAAAAGCTTGATTCTTGCAATAGGGGTGGTGCGAATTATGCGGGAGGGGCAGCTAGGCAGTCATGAAAGACATATATAATCTTGTGAAGTTTTAAATAATGCCGAAGGATGACAAATCATTAAACCAGACCTGTTAAATTACATTAAATATCACGCACCGGCGAATATCCACAAAGATCGTTGTCTGTATGTCTTCTAATTATGATCAAGCAGAAGCGCACATTTTTATATCTGTGGCTATTTTTGACTATGTTCCCCTGGTGGAACAGCGGTTAGCCTACGAACTTACAAAGTTAAAATCCATGGTTCGATTCCCCGCGGTGGACACAGCAGATAGCCCAGTGTGGCTTTGTACCACAATAAACAAATTTTTGACAATCTTTTTTTGTTTGTTATAAGTATGATTTGGTGTAAATGTTTAGGTGGACTGCTGTTTAATTTACTACATGAAGAAAATCATTTTACTGAAACTTCAATTCCTTGTTCTTCAATTATACTACACCAACGTGGGTTAGGATATGCTGTACAAAAAGAGATGAACATTCTCTTCAACGCAAGATTTAGGATATGCTGTACAAAAAGAGATGAACATTCTCTTCAACGCAAGATTTAGGATATGCTGTACAAAAAGAGATGAACAATTTTGTACAGCATATCCTAAATCTTGCGTTGAAGAGAATGAGATGAACATTCTCTTCAACGCAAGATTACAGTTTCCAATCATTCACGACTAAATAGTTTTTGGACTTTTTTTTTCGGTGTTTTGATTATTGCGATTTTTTAGGGTGTCCGAACATTCTGGAACTATAGATGATTTTTAGCTTTCCATAATTTCAGTTACTTCACTGATTATCAAAGCATGAGAAGGTCGACTTGTTTCGAACTACAGGGACAGCATGTGGAACATATTCGGTATAATTCTTAACGTGTCTATTGTTCCAGACTTTTCGGACACCCTGTAGATCACATTTTAAGATATATATATATTAAAGTGCATAATACTATTATTTTAGATTGTGAGACAATGGTGAGACAAATTCCGAAACGTCCTCAAATTAAAAGTTTCACGTTTCGTTGTGATATTCCATTTCGTCATTAGTCCACGTGACATATCTCACGCTGTTAAAGACCGTATGGGAATAGACATAATGTTTTAAT